CTCTTTTTTTTGTTTTTATTTTTTTTTTATATCGATAAAAATAAAAAAAATATATATATATATATATATATATATATATATATATATACATATATATACATATACATAATACATACATATACATATATATACATATATATATATACATATATATGTATATATACTGTATATATATACTGTATAGGCTCTATATATACTGTATATATATATATATTTTTATGTTCATGTGTATGTTCAAATTACACAGGCCTACTAAAATATTTCTAATAACTTTATACACATCATGACTAAATCTATTATATTATTATTATTATTATTATTATTATTATTATTATTATTATTATTATTATTATTATTATTATACGTGAGAGAATTTATTATAAATAACATCACTCACCCACTCCCATGGTTGTTTGCATTTAAAACACTTATTGTTCGTACAACCCCCACTGCAGCATTCACTGTCCGAGGAGCACTATAAATCGAAATAATAAGAACAATTAAATACAACCATATTTGATAAGCCAATATACAAGTAGATAATGAAGTATGAATTCGATGTTTTATTCGTGTTTTTTTTTTTATTTATTTATTTTTTTTATTTTTACTAAAGAAAGGAAAAGAAATTATTGATCGCCCAAAACGCCTCAGAGGTTATTTCTGGGCTTCTAGAAAACAAAGATTTCGCAGGGGCATGCCGGACCCCCTAGGATAGTATTGTCTCTCAGTCGCCCCCCCCCCCCTTTCTGTCCCTTCTTTCGGATATCTGTGGATCTGCCCTTATTACCCTGTAATGTGATGATACTGTAAATATTCAAAAGTAACAGCTCAGACTGCTTTTGTGCCTGAGAGAGATGTTTTCTGATAAACCACAATACTGTATATAGAAATCCATGTGAAGCAAGGATAAAATAGAGCTAACACTCACAAAATAGAGAGTGAGAGAAAACGAATATATAAAAAAGATAGTTGACATATTTGGCCGAAAAGTTTATCGAACAAAATTATGATATGTATTGATAATACTGATGATGTATTGATTGATATTGATTTGACTTGTTTGTACTCTGATATAATAATGAATAAAAGCCAGCTAGCTTTTTTGTAGTTCTATCAGGATAGGAGGCGCCGGAGTCCTGGGATGGCCGAGACTCAATTGGTGCTCTGAATAGGGTACATTTTGATAGATCTCTGCCCAGCGACGAGGGCGTATCCCCATACTGCGGTTTGGGTTCTGGCTTGGATTCTCTCTTTTTTTTAAATTTTCCAGTTACATCTTCTCACTTGTTCTTCGCATAGAGACTCTCGTATTTTGCGCAATATGAATAACCTTTAACCTTTAAAAGTACTGGTTCACTACAAAGGAAGGAGAAACTAATTTACTCACCCTTTCTTCTAGTTCTTTGCATTCAAAGCATTTGTTGCTTCTACAATCGTCACTACAACAGTCGCTATCAGAGGAACACTGCATATCAAAATAATTACAACAATTAAATATGTTAATGAAATGCGTATTTTGTTAAATTAAAGCAAGCTAGTATATTTCAATTGAGGAATTATGAAGAGACGTCAGTTGTATAAACTTAATACCGTTCTTATATATTGCGTAGACTTTTAAATCGTCTGATCAACCGTTTAAGAATTTTCTTACAATTAAGTGAATCTTATATATCGCAAATACGTAACACCAAAAATATTTATGACATGGTTATTTTGTATGATTAAAGCAAATTAGGCCAATCTTTCAATTGAAGAACAATGATGAGACGTCAATTATATAAACCTAAATACCGTTCCTATTTATTGCGAAACCTTTGGCTGGTAATCAATCTAAGAATCTTAGTTACAAATTCTATAAACCAGCGAAATTCTATAAACCGTACATAACAAAACTAGACCTACAACACTAACTAGATATGATACGCTTTCACTTGTGATAGCTTGTTCTAGACCTTAACACTTACCCATTCCCTAAGCTGTTTGCACTCGAAACACTTGTTATTCTTGCAGTCTCCACTGCAGCAGGAACTGTCTGAAGAACACTATATCGGAAATAAATCGATTTCTAATTAATATTTCTAATTATTCCGATTTATAAAAAAAAATAAATGAGTAAATTCAAGTATGACATAAAGTTCAATAAAAATGCCTCTAATTGACGATACAAGAAAAACACAACAATGTGACAAAAAACCCATACAGTTGTTCAAATGACACTATTAATATTGTTTGCAGTGGCGCAACACCACCAAAGTTGATGATAAAAATATTATAAATAATATAATGTATTAATGAAGGAAATGGACCGTTGCTAACTTCCCACAAAATGAAAGTATATAACGAAACACGTGTATCTGTGTAATCTACGCGTATTTTTGGCCCTAGTGTTCTGATTGGTCAGTTAAGTTTGATCGATACTCCATTCAAAGAGGTCCATTTATGTGTAGGCTTACTTACCCAGGCACCAACTGTCTTGCAGTTTTGGCATCTACGACTATTACAGAGCCCACTACAACAGTCTCTATCCGCATTACACTGTGAATATATTTTTAGAATAGGATATATATCACTTAATTGAAGGTTGTATTTGTAAATGTACGCATAATACAACAATGATTTTGAAGAATAATATTTATTATAGAAATATAAACAAATTATAAGATGATTAAATATTAAGTGCTTCAAATTTTATTCAGATACATTAGTTTTAAATTCTATATTAGTCAACCATCCGGTATATAAAGATATAAAACAGCAAAGTTGCACCGTTTTCCTTTATGTTCCATGCTTTCGCCAGAATACCACAAGACTAGGTACTAAGTATTACATGTTTCATACGCTTGTTATGATAAATAATTATTATTTAGACTGTTGATCCTTCATCCGGTTTAATTAAGTAATTGTTAAACATTGAAAAGTCTGAGAGTGCATTTCCAACCATCTGCAGTAGAGCTGTCTCTTATACACATCTAGATGTGTATAAGAGACAGTATATATACATATACTGTATCCTTGCTAAAAACTAAGAATATTTATTATAACGATAATAGATATATTATTATGACGATGATAGTATTAATTAGTTAACTAATAAATAGAAATAACGATTGTACTGATGATGGCGACTCGATGATGATGATGATTATGATGATGATGATGATGATAATGATGACGATGATGATTATGATTATTATTATTATTATACTAATGATGATACTATTAATTAAGTAAAAATATCAATGTATTCATGTCATTAAAAAATGCTTACTCTGCCCCTTGAAGACACGCATGGTTTCTCTTCAGAGCTGCTACTGTTAGGTCGACTATCAGAACTATCGCTGCCTGATTTCTTGCTCGATTTGCCGCCAGAACCAGAACTATCGCTACCGGAACTACCGCTGCCTGATTTCTTGCTCGATTTACCACCAGAACCAGAACTATCGCTACCAGAACTACCGCTGCCTGATTTCTTGCTCGATTTACCACCAGAACCAGAACTATCGCTACCAGAACTACCGCTGCCTGATTTCTTGTTCGATTTGCCGCCAGAACCAGAACTATCGCTACCAGAACTACCGCTGCCTGATTTCTTGTTCGATTGGCCGCCAGAACCAGAACTGTCGCTACCAGAACGATCACCTCCAGAACTGTCATTACCAGAGCTATCGCTACCAGGTGAACCAGCACCCCCACTGCCTGACTTCTTGCTTTCGTCTTTGCTTGCCGAAACATTAAGCAAGCATACGCAGAGAAGAACAGCAATAAATACCAATTTAAGATCCATATCGATTAAACTTTTTTTTCAAGATGGTGCTTTCAATGCAATCGGCTGCCTACCAATGCTCTTTTACTACCTAACAAAACTGTATATATAGCTACAAATACTATGCAAATTAACTAGTCAAGAAAAAAATACAATATCCGTATTGAGTGTATCAAAGGGGGGAACCATCTGCCAACTTGAGTCTTAAAGTGGTTGTAACATGTTGTCAGGTGATCACTTCTCCGATAAGACACAATGTTCGTAAGAACGCCTCTGCGTTTATGTTCTGAAGGTGTGGTTTAGAGGGGGATTTTTCTGTTCATCTGTTATCCAAATAGATACGGTAATGTGCTATTGTCATCCCGCTACCGGATACATAACATTGTTCCTCCTGTTTTTGTTTTAAATCTTGGGACAGTCTCTATGTACAACTTTAACGTATTATTCGAATTAAAGTATTACGTCATGGTGATATGTCAATATTATGGCATCATGAAGTGCTGCTTGAAAACGACCGTACCGCGAAACAAGTGGAGTAAGTTTATAAGGGGCGGTTAATATTAGGCCCTACCTCTTAACGTGTTCCATAATGATCCTCGAATTATTATGTTATCTCGGAACATAAGAAGGTCTAGACTTTTAAGATGTGTTGATAATCAGCTTGATTGGACTTAAAAGCTTCTAATTATCCGACATGTTTAGTAAAGTGAGAAAAGAAGGTTTCAATTGATGCAATTGGTGGACAAAGAGAGAAGAAAACATAAATTTATCACATAAAGGTGGAAGTTAAATTGTTTTCTCAGGATTCGGAAAGTATACTTATTGATCTATATATCTTCGATTCGTGCGTATATGCTTACTTAACATTCACCGAGCGTATGGCAAGTGTAGAGTACACGGAGTGTAGTCGCCTTAGCTTGCGCCCCCCACCCCAGACACAACCACATACCAATATGTGTAAGAAAGTGAGTGAAGAAAAAAAAAAGAAGATTGATGGCGACAAAGAGATAAGAATACACTTAATTCGTGAAATTCCGAATTAATTAATTCCTGATGATGACATAATTAATGTCGAAATATTGAATCCCAACACGATGGCGTGCATTTCAATACTTGGAGTAGGCCTCTATGTATTATACTTTCTTATCGTGATATTCCGGTGGCTATTGAGTTGTATTCTCACGAATTATGACAATTATACTTTTCGTGCGTACTCTAAAGCCCTGTCCAGACTATCAAATTTGATTTGACAAAATTATGTGACATGCCTAAATATGGTCATGATGATATAGGCACATCATGACCATATATAGGCACATCATGACCATATATAGGCACATCATGACCATATATAGGCACATCATGGCTAGATATGGACATACAACAGATTTTTTGAATGAAAATTACATTTACCCATTACGACAATATAATGTATTAAGCCTATGCTTGTACCTAGGTGCAGCCAGAAATTTACAATGAAAAAATTCACAAACAGTTAGATACGACGTCGTCACTCCACTCCCAAAAGCAGAGGCGGGTGCAGGTGGTGCGTTCGCACACCTCATCCCAAATTGTATTAAGAAAACTAATTGTTGTATTGTTGATATGAATTACCAGTACGATTTTTAAGGTATGAGAGTGCAATTTCCGTGCACCCAGAGGTCCATTCTCAAAATGTACCCCTTCCAACCATGGTGGGCCTGAGGTGGTGTGGACTCTCACGCACCCGGACTTCCTTCCTCGAAATCCTGCATCCGCCCCAGATAGCTACTGTAAACTGGTAAACGGAATCAATGGCTTACGATCTGGTATTTAAAAAAATATTATTAAAATATACTATTTGAGTAGTATTACATTTAAGTTGTTAGTTACTTCTTTAAACAAATTAATAATTGTAAACAGTAAATAGATGCAAATTGTTCATTGATTTCTTTTTAATGGTACACCTAGTTATTTAATCTATACATTGACATTGCATATTTCGATTTTCTTTCAATTCCAAACTCATAATCATTTTGGTGACAGTGAACATAAACGAAGCATAATTCCACGGATTAGTCAGATTTTCGATCATAATACAGCTACTAAAGACATTAAAATATATTATCGTCATTGTCGTGTACGACAAGGTCAACCGACTAACCAAGTATTGTATTATTTAAAAGTAAGATGTTCTGCGCTTTGTCGCTTGACCTGACCTAGATAATTACCACAGCTCGAGCGGATACATTGTATTGTAGTAGTTCGTTAGTGTGTACGCTTAACCATCAATATAGAGTTATATCAAAACAAAGAATTTGGCTTAAGAGAAAATTGCACTACGAAAAGTACATAGAAAAAAATCTTAAATCGTACTATAGCAGATAAGATGAAAATAACACATTACCGCAATAGCTTAATGTGACTTAGTGCATAGGCCTAAAAAGTGGTTACAAGTATATTAAACATCAAAAACTCAAGTAGACTTTAATGAAAAAGCGGCACTACTGAAAGTAGAAAGAGCGGGAAAATGTATACAATAAGACAAAATTGCAGTGATAAGACAATAAAAACAAATATGCATCGCAAACAGAAACAAACGGAAAAAACGTAGAATAAAATAAAACAGCACTATTGAAAGCGAAAAAAGTAATACTTATATGCTTGATATAAGTATGCACTGAAATTAACGACATTTCGCCAAATAATTTAGGCCTACACGCAGGGCGGATTGAAGCATTTCCTTCGCCATTCATTTGTTCATTTAAGAAATAAGCAGGACTAGCCGCTTATTGAGCTCATGGTGTTGGATAAACTAACCAAGCAATCAGGCGAACGCATCACAACGGTATACTCCTCAATATGAATTGGTTTTCCCGCGCTACATGATCACCATGGCGACGATTGTTGATACGCCAATTACCAGCAGCAATGCTAAAATCAAATCGAGAGAAAATATAATTTCGTTTGTTTTCGTTTGATGTGTAGATTTACTGCAATAATTATGGGCACCGTCCACAAAAACACACAAAATATATGTGTGCCTTATTGTATCATAATATTATCATATTAGGCTTATAATAATACATATATTTCATTTCTTTATATTATAATTATTATAATATATTATATTATATTATATTATATTATTCTTCTTTATTCTTTATTCTTTATTGGTCTAATATATTTAAAATAAATACATCAAAAATTCTTCATTTATACACTGCAATAAAAGGTAAGAAATTCAATAAACAATTACATATAAAAGGTTAAGAAACACAATTCAATTACAATTTAAAATAGAAAAAGTTATGTTAAACGGCAAAAACAATTCCATATATACAATTCAAAGAAATACTCTAGGTAATACAATAAAATTTACAATTATTAATTAGATTGATATTGATATGATATGATCAAGGAGTTCTCTCCATGGGTAGCAAAAATTATCTTTCAACATATTTGTTGTAAATTACAATAGAATGTGGAACAAACGATTTGTTATAGCGTTTAGTACGACTAGGTAAAGAGGGAATACGGATATGGGATGGGAGAAAATTGTACTCGTTGTAGAGTGGATGATCATTTTGAGAAAGTATGCGTTTTACCATGGAGAGAACACCTGCATTATACTTAAAATTGAGCTTAGAAGAATCTACTCCTATTGCACGCCCCGCCCTTTTAGTGATCTTCGCCAACAATCCCTTATCTTTTTTATATATTATATTATATTATATTATATTATATTATATTATATTATATTATATTATATTATATTATATTATATTATATTATATTATATTATATTATGCATAGGCATAGATAGATTTAGATATTACAGTGTTACATTGTAATACACATCGATGGATTGTTCATGGTTACGCAGATACACACCTGGCTTCCGTAAGTATCCACATGCATTTCCACCATTCCGCTTGATATCGTTACGATCACCAAAACCACCTTCGTATCCACCGTTACCTCCTCCGTCTTTAATAACAATTCCACCACCTCCCCCTCCTCCACCACCACCTCCAGCCCCTCCTCCTGCTCCTCCTCCCCCTGTTCCACCGATTGGTCTGTTACCACGGCCACCGGCCCATTCTCTGCGTGTACACGCAGCAATCGGCATATTGTCTGTTACGGTTACTTGTTGCGAAGATATACACGGATACCTCGTATGCTGTAGTGGCTTTCCTGTAATAAACATTATTTAAGATAGTAAAGCTGCAATAATAACCATATAAATCGGAGAATGAACTGTAAGGGAGGTTACACATTTAAAAGAAAACTCAACAAGGTTTTACTTGTACAGTTATTCTGTGAATCTTCAACAGGAAGCGTGAATTACTAATTATTTTCCAATGCTTAAAACATGTTCAATAGTATCAAGTAGTCTACCCTATTAGTAACTTGTACTATGCTTTAATTGTAACCACATTGAATAATAACCAAACAAACAAGGATTTTAATCAGAGAGAATCAGAGGTTATTTTTTTTATTTAGCATGTACTGAACCTTACCTGTAGGGGATACGGGGCCTTTAGCGTTGACAATCCAGTGATACTGAGAATCCATTTCAAAAAAGTGCAGCGGATCTTGAGGGAGCTGTCTCTCTCGGACAAATTGGCATCGCAACATTCCATTCTGGTAGCTGTATGCGTTCCCGTATGCAGTTACTCCGGCCTGGGAATATGTAAATGTAAATTCGCAGTGTGTAATGACAATGTATTGACTATAGTATATAAGTACATTCAGTAATATAGTTATATACATACTTTTTAGAGGCATATAAACATATTGTATAGTGTTATATATAATAATCTTTAACTGTTTATGAACCTTTAATCGCACTGCAAAATAGTAAAAATAGCATTAAAATACCTTACTGTACATGAATATTTACATTTTTGGATTTATATATTTTTACTTATAAATTTAATTTATCTATAAATGTCTACACTTTTAATTAAAATTAGAATTAAACAAGCAGAATTGTAATTGTATGGCAACATCTATCAACCTTTAGAACTGCTGTATAGGGATATTGACCCAGGTCAATCCAGTAACAGTGCTCTTGTATCAAGTTTAAATTCTTATTTTATGTATTATTGTTTGTGTTTTTTTAAATACGAAACTTCAAGTCTCGGCCTGTTTATTTCCAATATTCTCACCAGGGTTGTCATTCCAGTCTTAGGCATACCTGAGACGATGACTTATGATTCAATCCGCCTGTGTTCCATCGCCGTTCAAGAGTGACGTATTCGCCTCTACGAATGCACATCATGACGTCATCCTCATGCTGGAAATTCAAACGTATAAAGTAAATGCAAAGATGACATTTTGAAAATAATAAGAATCGTAACATATTAGTAACTCATGGGTAGATATTAATATTTGATTATTATTTATATCAATAAACTGACTAAATAAGAATTGAAAATATAATATCTTTGCATATTATTATCTTAAAAAATAAAGGTAAACGTTTTAAATTCAGTTAATATTATAAAGTTTATAATACTAGGCCTACTACGTATACTCTGGAAACACGTCACCGGTAGTGACTAACGCTTCTCCGGTAATTGAAATGACACCGCACTCAGAAATTGATTTAAATTCACCCTACCCCACGCTAATGTAAAAAAAAGTGTCGTAAACGCTATCGGCAGATTATCCTATTTTCTGAATGCTATTTCCCGATAGTGTTTATTTATCTGTAATAACTTTATAATGTGCTGTGTTTAGGATTATGCGTTGGTTGGTCAATCAACCAATCAATCAATCAATCAATCGGCAAGCAGTTGATTAGTTTGCTAATTAGTAGATTGAGCTATATAGCCTAAATTGAGTTTCATGTGTAATATGCAGGGAGCAAGATGGATCTTTGTGTTTATTACCCAGGGGCGGATTAAGGGGGACGGCCCGCCCCCCCCCCCCCCCCTCCCTTTTGGGAGGTAAAAAAAAGAAAGAAAAAAGATGGATTAAGGGGGGGGGGCGGCCCGGCCCCCCTTTTGGGAGGTCAAAAAAAGAAAAAAGAAAGAAAAAAAGAAAGAAAAAGAAAAAAAAATGATAACCCAGAACGCCTCAAATGTTATTTTCGGGCGTCTAGAACACAAAAATTTCGCGGACCCCCTAGAACATTGTTGTCTCGATCGGCCCAAATTTCGCTTCCCCCCACCCACCCTTATGGACATCTCTGGATCCGCCCCTGTTACCTGCCTGCTTATCATTTCTAATTCTCCTAGTTCAAGTCCTGCAAAAAACCGGCCGAGCCGAAGTTGGAGTACATTCCAATGTGAAGGCCAACGAGGTAATTCGCTCGCTACTCGAAGAAATAAAACATATGCACATATAGGAGTAACCAATAAATGAATTATCCTATAAAATGTTATCAGAAAATTACTTACCATTGCAATTTCATCATGTGATAGTCCAAGGGCGATCCAGCCGTCGGACCTACCTTTCAAATCGATTATAATCTGGTTCGAATTACGTGGATTTTCTTTGGCAGAAACAAAATATTCACAATCATTCTGTTCACAATTCACCGGTCTTTTAAAACAAACTGTGTTTACTGGACAGATAAAACGAGTCTCCACCCAACCTTCGGTTACAATCGCTTCAGAGAGAACCAGTAACGCTAGGAGCACAACAGCCATGGTTGCCTGAAAAGGGACACCTCTGTTAGGAGTCGGGACAATTGAAGGAAGAGCTCTCTGTAAATTCGTGACGTGTTCAAAGAGTTGTCTTCTGCCCTTCAGTTGTGATTGTAACTTCGACTGGCAAAAGTTCAAATGAACTGGCAAAGCCTTCGGTTATCGCATTGACTGTATTTCCTGCGAAATAAGCTGTGAAATCATCCTAAACGGTTACCCCGTCCTTCTAAGCAATCTAGCTCATTTCATTCTCATAACCACATAAGGAAATGTTTATAGTAGTGGTGACAGTACGGGTAGCGTCCATTTATTTTGAGCTATCCGACGATTTACTCGTCTTACTCATTATTTATTTTCTCATGACCCATATTTTTTTTTTTGAGTCAGACAATGTTTTTCTCTCCCTAGAAAGTTAGCTTATTGTTTACTACTTACTTGATGACGTAAGTTGACCCGATACGGTCAACACACAACGAATTGTGTAGATAGTATCTGAATTAAGATTTTAAATTAGGCCTAATGAATAATCAAATTAGCTAACCAAAACTTTTACCCTTCCACTGTTTAGAAAAATTTGATTTCATGTCTGGTATCCTCAATATTTATCTTGCCAATTGCGCATTGAAATTTGTATGTATAATGCTAATGTCATGTATACAGGAAACGCACCAACCTACGTAAAAAAACCTTGTTATGTGATTATTACACTTGGAAAGCTAATGCCTATATTCTCTTTTTGTATTTTATTACATATAAACAGAAAAAAAACAACCGAGCTGTGAACGTATCAAATGGATATTTAATATTTATCTATGAATTTACTGCGTTTACATACATTTTTTATAGATCTAAATATACGTATAGATAAGATAGAGTGCTTATATAAAATCAAGTGTTGTTAATTTGCTCAAACAATAAGAAAATGTTGTTCATTTACAAGCTATTCGAGGATTTATTCGTATCACTCATGTTTTTTTTTCAATGAGTCATCAGGTTTTTCTCTTTCTACAATGTTAGCCCTTTTCTTTGAAGGTATATAGATACGAGCTTCAATCTACAGCATTTGTTCCTTATAATTGGACTCTTCTATAATTTATCTATTGATCTGTTTTTGTTCATAGTAGGTATACAACGTAGCAACTTTGATTTGTTTTTGTATGATGAAGATGAAAAAAATACTCCGTGTGTGCAAGTGAGTGTCTTCGTGTGACTGAGACAAAAATAAGAGACGATTTAAGTATGAAACACTATATTTATAATATATTTGATTTTATGAGAGAGTATTTATCCATAAAGATTTTACACCTGAGGTCAATAGGCCTACTATCAAGAATTATGTACCGTAAGTCTTTCATTTAACATTTAAAAAAATTGTACATCAAAACAAACAGATTGAAAACACGAAAGTAACATCAAATTGCAGGACAACGCCAGGTAGCAACAATACCATAATAAATATGCACAGGATATCTGCTAAGAAATATTCTCTTTCAGGTATTGTATTTGAAGAATACGTAGTTTTCTTTATCAATGAGTTTACAGTTTGATTCTACCATGTTAAGCACGACGGATACTCTCGGCCGACAAATTTGTCCTGGTCGACAAATTCATGAATGTTTATGGCTCGACGCAACGTTACCGTCGCGCCTTTGAAAACGTAAAGGCTTGACGCATCGTCGCGCGAAGCACCGTCCTATCGTAACGCCAATAAAATAATGGCAATGTAAATGGTTGGGGACTTTTATAGCGTAGTATTAACGTATAAACAATTATTTAACCGCATTAAGTACTTGTATGGTATGTTCTTTATAAGGGTTGGAATACTAACAAATGTCCTATGAACGAGCAATTTGCAAATGTAACGGTCAAATCTAAATTTCAAAATGTTCACAGTTATTTTTCTCTTAAACATAGAATACAACGTAACAAATTCTGATGAAGGAAATGCGCTCAAAATCAATTTGTCAGTAAGTCTGCCTACGTTCATATTCTTTTCTTCATGGTTTTGTGAAACGTCTTATTATCCGTTGGTATCATACTTTGAAAACGCGGGCCACGATTGATGCAATAAGTACTACTAAGAAACAACCTGAAAATTAACATAAAAAGGAACAGTTAGTTTAGATCTTACTTAAATTTCAATTGTATCTGGCCTCTGCCACCCGATTCTACTACTGTCACTTGATACAATTACACAGAAAACACGGTGTGTTGAATTTACAAAACTTATGCAGACACAGACTGCATGGCATGCGATTGTCTGTGTAATTGTAGTTAATGACAGTAGCAACAAAAAAGCTTACCGTAAGTTAAGCTGGCATCGTTATCATCGTCATTGTCGTCTGAGACAGGTTTATGACATGCCTCTATTGGTTGGTTAACGGTCAAATCTACTTTGTTGGTAGAGGCACAAGGTATCGTTTTGTGTTTTGCTGCCTCACCTGTAATTTAACAACCGGTACCTTTGATGTTAATGTGGTATTGGATACAAATGGATACTGACACTGTTGTTAATTGGTTAAACAATAATAAAATAATAATAATACAGTAATAATAATGATGATGCATGATGGTAATAATGATAATACTGATGATGATAATACAGTAATAATCAGAATGCATGATAATGATGATGATGATGATGATGATGATGATGATGATGATGAATGATGATTATAATAATGGTGATGATGATAATATTGGTGATGATAATGACAATGATTGATGATGATAATGACAACGATAATGATGATGACAATGAAAATGACAATAATAATAATATTAATGATAAAAATATTAAGAATAAAAAATCCAATGTAATTTTTGTTTAATAATAATAATAATAATAATGATAATATTAATAATAATAATAATAATAATAATAATAATAATAATAATAATAATAATAATAAATACGATTTATATAGCGCACATATTCACTTTAGAAAGTTCTCAAGGCGCAGACCATGAAAGACCATGAAATATCTTAAAATAAAACCAGTTAAAAAAAAAAGCAGAAGAAACCAGTAACACTGCTTTGTTTACCAGCATTTTGAAGCCCTCACCTGGTCGAGCATTTGGTCCTGAAGCGAATAAGAAGTGGTATTGATTAGATTCCATATCCACCCAATTCACGCTTCCAGGCAAGATGTTCTTATCTCGTATAAATTGGCAGCGTACGTTTCCATTGATGTATGAATATTTGTCACCGTACGAATAATAGCCAAACTAAGATAGAAAAAGAATGGTGAAGTACAATAAATTCCCAAATAGGCCTATTTAGTACTTTATATGCGAATATAGGAATATATCTGTCTCTTATACACATCTCTATATTTATAATATATTTGAT